AGGCAATGTAACTCATCACGAGTACATACAAGTTGGGAAGGGAAGAGATGTGGGCCTTAACCAGATCTCAATGTTTGAAGCAAAAATCGCTAATGGAAATGGGGAGCAGACACTCAGTCGAGATATATACCGACTTGGACACCGTTTTGACTTTTTCCGTATGTTGTCGTGCTATTTCACCACAATTGGTTTCTACTACAGTACTCTGGTATGCTGCTTTTTAGTTTCAGTTTCAACTGTTATGTACTTAGTTCTTGAAAAAATAATATATGTAGTTAGTTAAAGGTTCTGAACATGGAAGAATGTTTTTGTGGCAGATTACGGTGCTTACCGTGTATGTCTTCCTTTATGGACGCCTTTACCTAGTTCTTAGTGGACTTGAAGAGGGTTTGAGCACTCAACCGGCAATCCGAGATAATAAGCCTCTTCAAGTAGCTCTTGCTTCTCAATCATTTGTTCAAATAGGATTTTTGATGGCGTTGCCTATGTTGATGGAAATTGGTTTGGAAAAGGGTTTCCGAACTGCACTAAGTGAATTCATATTGATGCAATTGCAATTGGCCCCAGTATTTTTTACGTTCTCACTCGGAACAAAGACCCACTATTATGGACGAACATTACTTCATGGTGGTGCAAAATATAGACCTACAGGCCGTGGGTTTGTGGTTTTCCATGCTAAGTTTGCTGATAACTATAGGCTCTATTCCCGCAGCCACTTTGTTAAGGGTATTGAACTCTTAGTTTTACTTCTGGTGTACCAGATCTTTGGCCATACTTATAGAAGTGCTGTTGCGTACATTTTGATCACAGTATCTATGTGGTTTATGGTGGGCACCTGGCTTTTTGCTCCCTTTTTGTTCAATCCTTCTGGTTTTGAGTGGCAAAAGATAGTTGATGATTGGACAGATTGGAATAAGTGGATAAGTAACCGTGGGGGTATAGGTGTTCCCCCTGAAAAAAGCTGGGAATCATGGTGGGAGGAGGAACAAGAGCATCTCCAGCATTCTGGAAAGCGTGGTATTGTAGCTGAGATACTGTTATCGTTACGGTTCTTTATCTATCAGTATGGGCTCGTCTATCACTTGAACATTGCCAAGAAAACCAAGAGTGTTCTGGTAAATAATGAACCTGATCTATTTCCCTCCATTCCCTCTTCCCCACCCAAATCCTATTTTCTTTTCTTTTAGGATATGACAATTGCAAACTTATTGTTATATTGCATTCACTTGGTAACAGGTCTATGGTATTTCTTGGCTGGTGATCTTCCTTATTTTGTTTGTTATGAAGGTGAGTCCAAATTGTATTCATATTGGCTTATTTATCAACACAGAATAGAAAATGTGCTTTACATACATAATTTCCACAATATAGGCTGGCTGCTTAGCTTTAGTAATTGCTTTTCAAAACTAATACTGTGTTTGCTACCTAGTTATAATCTGGTTGTGAGGCAACTTTAGGCTTTTGCTTTGCCCATTCGGATTCCTGCAGTTCAGTTGTTTGGGTGTTTGGTGCATAGATCTGATTTTAGACATTTTTTGTTTCCCTTTCTCGTTTGTGAATCTCATTCCTTTTCTACATGTTCTTGGACAGCATTTGCAAGCTGCTGTTATTTGTCTTTTTCCTTTTATCTGGTGGCTTGTTTCTGAATTTTCGTGGACTGCTGGTCCACATTGATTATACTTACTAATATTATCAGTATTTTCTCCATCAAAAGAAATATATAGTTCAACAAATGTACTTAATTGTTTCTCTTTCTTTCCAGACTGTATCCGTTGGGAGGCGAAAGTTCAGTGCAGAGTTTCAACTAGTGTTCCGGCTAATAAAGGGACTAATATTCATAACTTTTGTGTCCATTTTGGTGACTTTGATTGTGCTGCCTCACATGACGCTGCAGGATATCATTGTGTGCATTCTTGCTTTCATGCCAACTGGTTGGGGAATTCTTCTGGTGAGTGAATGTTCCAGTCTTGCCTTACCTTAGTTCAGTGTTGCAAATAAACTCTGGATATAACAACAATGTTGTGTTTTCTTTAATCCTAAACTGAAAATTGGGCTATAAGATCCCTGAACCAAACTTCTTAGCACACAGGTAGCCATGGTACCATCTTCAGATCCGACCCACTTGGATTTGTTAATTTCTTAGAATAAGGGTGATATGGTGATTTTCAACCCTCTGTTTTGGAGATTTCCCAACTTTCTGCTGTTAGTTTGAGTTGTTACAATGAGATTTCCCAAAACTAAAATTTGCACCATACAATGAGGTTGTAATTGCATCTTGCACTTGTGTGCATTTCTCTGTCCTTGAATTTCCTAATGTCATTTGTCTTCCTATCTCTTACCAGATTGCACAAGCTTGCAAGCCTGTTGTCCACAAGGCTGGTTTATGGCCATCAGTTCGGACTCTTGCTCGCGGCTTTGAGATTGTTATGGGTTTGCTTCTATTCACCCCAGTTGCATTCTTGGCCTGGTTTCCTTTCGTTTCTGAATTCCAAACCCGTATGCTCTTCAACCAAGCATTCAGCAGAGGTTTACAGATTTCTCGTATTCTTGGTGGGCAACGGAAGGATCGTTCGTCCCGGAACAAGGAGTAACCATGCTAGTTACAAGAGCAGCTTTCAAGTTAATTTTTTGATTGCCGTGCTACTTCCTTCCCGCAGACTCGTTAAACAATAGTTTGTCGGTATATGCTGTAATTATTAATGTGTTTGGGTTGCATTTTTGTTAGTTCAACTTGACTGACGGCGGCCCTGTCAATTTTTCAGATGTTATTAAAATTGCATATTTGTATCTATGTAGATATGATAAAATTCATGGCTAAATTATCAAACCATGCCTTGTGTCATTTGGTTGATTGGCTTTTCTAACGTCGTACAAACATTTGCACCAATGGTTATAATTTGAAGTTTTCCCATATTTTTATGTAGACTTTCTGTTGTGAGCCCGCTAATTTATAGAGAGGTTAGGCTTAAACTTGTTTGTTACACAGGCTAGGCTTAAACTGGTTTGGACTAAGTCCTAGTTTTAAATTAGATTGCTAATACCGGGCTCACCAAAAACACTTACATAGGAGGGAATAAATAAACCCATATTGAAGGGGAGAATTACAAATTCCGTAAGATGCATATGTTATATTGTAATGTAAATATATATATATTATAATGTCAAGTTTACCCACGCTCGAATTTTACCTTCTCCAATTTTTTTCTCTATTCAGAAGTTTGACTTCCATTTGGTTTTTGCTATGATCAAAGGTCCCAGCCATAGGTGCAAATATTTGTAAAACACACAAAACGCCCTCTTCACTTTGTATGGACTTGGCTTCTTCTTCTTTTAAAAATGTAGCAAACTAACCTACTATATGAAATGAACTATGCTACACTAATTACTCCATTATTTAAGTTAGATGTCTGGTGATACGAGATTTGGATGCAAATATGGACCCCATCTTAGAGTCAGTCATTTCATGATCAATTCCAATTCCTTCTTTTCTATTCCATGTATTCTTTTCGGATTGAGATGTTGGAACATATTAGATTAGAAAAACAATTAATTTTTTTCATTCATATACATCTCTTATGAAATAATGCTCGACTCTTTACACGTTACACTGTGATTTGTCTATAAGAAGCCAATTTGTTTCCTTCCTTAAAAAATTAAAAATTTATTTATTTATTTATAATCAATAACTAGCACTGAATTTTTCTGGATTGCTTGCATGGCAACTAGCACGGGTTATATATATATTTTTTTAAACATAGAAAAAAAATGGCCAATGATAAACTGACTAATTAAAAGGGGCGGCAGTTGAAAGAGTTTGAAAACAGCAGCAAGCCAGACTGCAAATACAGAGAGACGCATAGTTGAGTTGAAAGAGTCACAGATGACACAACTCATACACAATCAAATACTCCATTTATTTATTTGTTGTCTTTCAAAAACTCCCTCTCTGTCTCATTTGTCAGCTTTCATTTGTCACCCTCTCTCTCAGTGATTGCCTCGTTGCCTATTGTTACAATTCTCCATCAATTTCTCATTTGTTTTTGTTTTATCTTATGGCTTGCAGTCCTTAATTTATAAACAAACCCAGCTCATGTTTTTTCTTTAACCAGCATCTCTTTCATTCCCTACTTGTTCCTTGCTAAGATTCCCTCCACCACATTCTCCCTTGGAGTTCAAAACCAAATCTTTTCTTCTTCTTGGATTGTTGCTGTGCCAACTGCCAACTGCCAACTGCGGAGCCAGTAGTTTGAGTTCCAGGCATTCAACTACTAATATGCCTTTGGCATCTCGGCAACTGGGTTTTGCCTGAAGTTTCCTCAAGTGCCTTGAATTTCGCTGAGGAGAGCTTGAAGGTGAGAAAAATGACATCTTTACAGAACATATAATATATACTATATGAAGCTCTCTGGGTTTTTAGACCGACTCAAAAGTAAGTTTAGATCATTAGTCAAAGGAGTAAATGAGTTTATGATTCAAAATATTTGATTTTGGTTCAAGAGGGTAGGAAAATTTGGTGTTTATGAAGTAGATTATAGGTTCAAGGTAATGCTTGCATTTGTCAAATCTCTGTGGTTCTTTCTTTTTCCAATTTTTTATTGTCTCTTTGGTTCTGTTTCTGTTTCTAAATGAATTTTAATCACACTTGATGAGTAGCCTCTTATTACTGGTCATTGTTCACCATTCATTGAGGAAAAAAGTTTTCAACTTATGATTACAGGATACTAAGAAACATAAAATTTTTAGGTGGCGGACATGTGCTTTGAAGTATTTATAGGGATAAGTTGATCAAATCTTACATCCAATTTACTGGTAACATCCGGAGGATATTCTGCTCTAGTGGTTTCTTCTTAGCATAATTTACAGTGCTTTTGATTTTCTTGGATTTCATTGCATGGTTTTGTATGAAACAGATGAAGATTTAGTTTCAGCTATTAAACTTGGTTTTTTTCTTCTTGGCATAAGATTCAGTGTGAAGAAAGGTTTTCGTATCAGCAGCACAAATGGCATCGTCTTTGGAGGATCTTCTAGCAGAAGATGGGTTTAAAGGAAGAAAATCATTGACCAGGTCGAGGACATCCTACCATTCTGGTTCAACTATACGTCATTTTCCTAATTCAGAAGAACACAGGAAACATTCCATGTCAGGAGATAGAATAAGACCAGAGAAAACAAGGTCTGATGTGTCTCAGTATGGTGTGAGAAATAATCTGCCAACAGGTGATGATATTAGAGGTAGGAGACCAAGAGAAGATCTTCTTGTAAGAGACAAAATAGGAGGAGGATCAAAGAAAGAGATTAGGGATGGACTTGGAGGAAAAGGTCCTACCAGCCGCAGTGTGTGGGAAGCTAGAAGTTTAAATAGCATTTTTCCCCAGAATCAGGCAGCAAATGAGATAGTTGAGGTTGATGATGAAGACTTTGAGAGATACAAGGACATATATTCAAATGAACTGTATAGCTCAGAAAGAAGGAAGGATAAGTATTCTGATGGAAGTATGGAAAACGAAGGATTTGAAGAGAGGTCAAAGAAGGAGACAGAGGTGGATAGGAGACATAGCCACAGTTCAAGTTCAAACAAACATGTGGCTGGACGTACAAGTTTTAGTGAGAATAATCGGCAAAGCAGGAAACAGCCTGAGACCTCTCATGACAGATCAAGGAGAGATTCATCATATAGCAAAAATTCTGAAGATGCTCGTGGTCAAAAGCGTGACAAAGTCTTACAGGCAGTTTCTGAACCCGCTCTCGATGAAATTGCTATCAAAGCCATGGTCTCCATCCTAAGTGGATATATTAAACGTTTTCTCAAAGATGACAACTTCCGGAGTGCACTAAGAGACGACCGTATAGCCTCCCTAAACTTTATTCATCAGGAAGAAGGGCATTCTGAGAGCAGAATCATAGCCAGCCTTGAGCAGGCAATTGAAACAGTGGAAAAGGCTGCAGAGGAATCTGCAAGTGAAAAGGATTTAAAAAGAGCTTCTTTGCAGCTTAGTGTTATTACAGGTTTGAACTCAGCTGATTTGAAGGATGGATTTACATCTGGGGTTCCTAACTATAAATTGTCAGCTTGTGCTCATCTCTACCTCAGTGTGGTGTATAAGCTACAGAAGAAAGACAGGGTATCAGCTAAGCATCTTTTGCAAGTGTTTTGTGATACACCCTTTCACGCAAGAACGACATTGTTGCCTGAATTATGGGACCACCTGTTTCTTCCGCATCTTTCACATTTAAAGGTTTGGTATGATCAAGAAGCTGATTCTCTAGCAGATAGACAAAACAAGCCAAGGAAACTGAAGCTTTTAGGAAAAGCATACAATGAAATTTTAGATTCTGGTACTTACCAATTTGCAGTTTACTACAAGGACTGGCTTACAGAAGGAGCTGAATCTCCT